CTTTAATATTTCATATTTGTATGTTCTCCCTTGATTCATGCGAATTTTTTTTGAAAACTGATTGTTTTCAAATTATATTTAATGCACCTTGATTCATGCATTATATATATATACATACTTGTTGTTAAATCTCTTATCTAAATATTGAATTATTTTTAATACACCTTGATTTATGCATATTTTTTTGGGAAAGTGATTTTATTTTTAAATTATATTTATGCATTAAATATTTACTACTACTAGTTTTATAGGAGAATTTTAAAATTTGTTTGAATTTCAAAATTTATTAATATCCGAATTCTATAATAGTGTGCACAAATACTCTATAACAAAGATAGTGTAACAATACACTGTAACAAAAAAAATGTTTAGTAATTTTGTGTATATGGTAACAAATTTAAAACGGAAATGAACTATTTTGAATGAAATTATATGTTTTACAAAATGTAATAGTTCAATTTTTTTGTGTAAATAGTTTGTTACACTATTTAAATATTAAATTAAATTGACTTTTCAAAAAAAAAAAAAATTCATGAATCAAGGTGCATTAAATATAATTTGAAAAGAAAATCAATTTCCAAAAAAAAAAAATGTATGAATCAAGGTGCATTAAAAATAATTCAATATATATATATTAACAAATACACATGAATTAAGATACATTAAAAATAAGAGATTTTGAATTAAATGATCCTAAAATGAGCATTTACATCTTTATATCTCAATTGTGTAATTTTTTCTAAAACATTTTGTTCTATATACTTTTTGCCAAATAAGTATAATTAGGTGTACCGGCTTCCAAAAAATCCTGTATTGCAATAATTTGGCCCTATAATCAAATCCATAACATTAAAAACTTAGAAATTAAAAAAATAAAAAATACTCAAAAGTCAATTCATATTTACTCCTATCCACATTCTCTCTCTCCCTCTCTATGATAAAAAACAAAAATTGAAATCTCTTTTTCAATAATATTAATACATCTTTTTTTTGTCTCTCTCTCTCACATAGAAAATTAAAAATAAATTACTTTAAAAAAAATATTAAAAATAAAAAAACATTTATTTAATATTTTTCCTTTAGGCCTCAAATTAGTTTGAGTAGCAGCTGTCGATGACTGCAGTTACTTCATAGTTGAACAGTTACGTGATACGCAAGAATATAGTAAGGAGAGAGATTTTTTAATTTTTTTATTTGCTTAGTAGCTAGGGAGAGATAGTAAATCGTTATTGTTGATCAAATTGGGTGGTTTAACGCTATGTATTAACGCTAACCAATGATTAGGGTCTGACCTAAGAACAACAGCATTGCAATTTGCAAGTACCGTTGGTCCCCCTTTTGTACTTGAATGAATGTGATAATGGATCCCACTTGTCACAAAATTATNCTGACCTAAGAACAACAGCATTGCAATTTGCAAGTACCGTTGGTCCCCCTTTTGTACTTGAATGAATGTGATAATGGATCCCACTTGTCACAAAATTATAAAAGCATATCAATATAATAAAATACTTAACAACTTAAATTTTTATCTCTTATATATATATTTTTTTAAAAATATCATATCATCTTTTTCTATTGCATATTTAATTTTTAATATTTAATTAATTCATAATTTAACATAATTTTTATTTTAAACATTATTCATACATGATAATATACTTGTTGATAAAATTTTATCGAATTACATATTTTAAACAAAATTTATCAACAGTTTGAAGAAAATATTGAATAAAAATAAATTTTAAATTTTAATTAAAGAAATGAAGAAAAAAAAATTATTGTTTAATATAGACACTCGGAATTTTGTGTTCAATCGTGCATAAAAGCACATACTATGACGCAACAGGGCATTAAGGATGGTTCGTTGGTCCTAGTGCACTTCAGCAGAATGAAATGCTGTACTTGAGTGATCATGTGAGCATTCAGACCTTCACTTGAAAAACAAAATAAATAAAGCTTTGTGATGAATATGTATGTTTTTTATTCCAATATCAACGATGCTAAACACACTATCTTCTTACACCACTTTTGTGCATCATTTCAACCAAGACCGTTAGATTAATAAGTCCCAAAAATTTTATTAAATATTCAATAATTTTGATTGTAATATATCAAGCGGTGTAAAAGAAATGATACACAAAAGTTGTGTCCACATCATTATTCTTTTGACGTGGCACAATTAAAGTCATTGACTAATCTAACATTTATGTTACAAATTTGCTGTAAGCAGATAGTGTCTATATCATTATTGATATATTTAATATTTGTGGCCGACGTATGATTATGAATGTGTTAGTGGGTGGGTGGATAATTGAACGACGTCTAATCTTTTATCACACGGGAATCCAACCATATAAGTACCAGATATGACCTTCTTCATTTGTATTCATGGATTCTGTACTTGTAAAACCCTTCACTACCGTGACTGTCCCATGACAAGGTATTTTACCCCCTTGTGGTTTGGGTATTTTGCACATCACCTCTTTATGGTTCAAAAATCAGTACACAACCCCCTTATATTTTTAGATTAAAGTACAACCGTTACAATTTCTGTCAAAAGTAACAGAAATTATAACACACGCGCTAGATTTACAAGTGTGGATGTAAAAAATTTAAGTCAAAATCAAAACTCAATCTAAATGCTCAAATATACCCTTGTGATCTTTCAAAAAGACTTTTTTTTATCTTCTTCTACATTTTATTGTTAGAAAAAAAAATTCCTCATTTCTCATTTCCCTTTCCCCTTTTCTCGTCTCTGTGCCTCTCCAGCTGTCGCCTCTCGCCTCCTCTTCCCCTCTCTCTCTCTCTCTTTCTCTCTCTCTCGTAATTGTTCTTTGTGGTTTTCGATGGAAATGGTGGGGTTTTTCAATGAGTTTCAGGGGCTACTGGGGGTGGGTTTTAGAGGCTGTTGAGGGTGGGTTTTCAGGACTGTTGGGAGTGGGTTTTTGGGGGTTTGGGGGTGGGTTTTTAGGGAGTGTTGGGTGGGTTTCAAGGGGATGTTGGGAGTGGATTTTCGGTGGGGTTTAGGGTGCTGGGTTGTTGTTGGTGGGGGTGGATTTTCGGTATGGATGGTTAGTGGTGGGTGGTGGATTGCAAGGAGAGCCTGGGAAGAGGGGGTTTGAGCAGAGAGGCGAGGGCAGTGACATTGCTGAGTCAAAGAGAGAGTGGGAGAGAGGCAACAAGGTGTATAGTGAGAGAAAATCAAACTCTTGTTTAAGCTTGAAACTTGAATTTTTGGGTATTCAAAATTTAGAGTTTCGGAGGTGAAGGAGGGCCTAATCCACCATTTTTAGGGTCAATGAATTCATTTTTAAAGTTAGAATCGAGAAAAAATGAGGTTTGGTGGGTGAAAAATTAAATTAAAAATCGCGAGAATTTTTGAAAATGATGAACCCATCACTTTGGAGCTCGATTTTCACTTACCTTGTGCATGATTTGGACAAACTAAATACAAGGTTGGAAAGAGGGTAGAAAGAAGTTAAATTTAGGCATTTGAATCACCCAAAAAAGTTGAGAAACGAGGAAGAAATTAAGGGTCAAAATTCGCCCAAATGTTAAAAAAATCTAGTATATACATAACTTGTCAAAATGAGTTTGTGATCATCTTTGAGCTTAAATTCGTGGGTCATGAGAGCTATTTAAGGAAACAAGTCCGTGAGGTTTAAAACTAGGTTGAGAGTGGAGTATATTGACATTGGTTTGAGGAAGTTTGGTATTTTATGGAAAGAGAAAAAAGCTTGTAAAATTGGGTGATTGGTTGATTTTTTAGAAAATTAGGCTACAATTGAGAGGGAGGAAAAAGATGATGAATAGTTGAGAGTACTAAAGTCATTTTACCACTTATGTTTACGGTGTTAATTGTACATATCGATCCAAAAATATAAGGGGATAATGTGCTGATTTATAAATCATAGGGAGGTCATGTGCAAAATACCCAAACTACAAGAGAATAAACTGAATTTTGCCCTTTTTTTTTTGGATGGTCTTCCATAGCAAGGCTTTCATATAAAAGCAGTATAAACCACCCCTTGTGCTGAGATGTTTTTATTTATTTTCTTTCTGAATGAAGAGTTGCAATAGGACGACGTTCTTTCTTTCAAACACGCTTTGCTGTAGAGTTATAATAGAATCCGGTGTATTAATATTAGAATAATCGTACCCATCAGAAGGTGTTTGCAGGAGCCGAAGTCTATTCTATAGAAATAAATAAAGATAATATTTCAAACTGACCTAATAAGATAACACCTCCCCATCCCCCTCCCCACCCCCCACCCCC